AGTATTTAGTCTATAACTATACGAGCCTACTACTTCGATTATAGTATACTTCGTATTCTTCTAGTCTAGCTTCTTACTTTAACGCGTTATACGTATATTCTTAAGGTTTAGCTAGACCTTATCCTTAACTCGAAATTTAGGTACTTATTATTTCGTACAATTAGTAATCTCTTCTTACTCTTATTATACTACGACTATTAAGGTTTATACCTATTCCCTAGCCTTCTATAACTATCGTATAATCTCGTCTACTCGCTATATAGAGCTATCGCTTAACCTCCTATCGTCTAGGTTTTCCGTTATTTATATAGGCTCTATATAATATCCGTAGAATAGGAAGAAAGGACTAATACTAGTAGACTAAGTATTACGATTATTAATAGAGAGTTCGGCCGCTAGTATCTATCGTACCTAGTCGTCCTACGCGATATTTACGAATATTCGTACGTATATTTCTATAGTTTAGTTTATTCTCTCTATCGATCCGTCTATCTCCGGATAGTAAGCCGTCGAGAGCCGTCGTACGATTCCTAATAGCTAATAAACCCTCTTCTATAGGATACTAACGAACTACGTACCCCTATTCGAGACGATTATAGATAGTAAATCGTAATTCCGATAAAACGTACGAACGAAGAGACTAGTTATATCCTTAAAAGTAATTATACGTATTAGTTCTAGTATTACTCCCTTCTCTAGACGGTTAGTAATTATAGCGAGGTTCGTATACTCTTCGCTTAGAAGTAAGTTAATAATAAAATTAATAGAGATTTCTCTCTATATACGACTCGGTACGAGAAGGAGTTTTAAAAATCCTTATCGTCTCTCCCTCTATACTTTTATATATCTATATATATCGTAATTACGTACGAACCGCCGAATATCCTATAGTATATTTAGCTAAAAGAATTATCGAGATATTAAAACTACGATAGCTTCTCGTCTAGGGTAACTCCCTATTATAGAATCGTATATCTCTTATATTAGTCTCGTACGAAGGAGTTCTAAATTAGGTACCTAACGTCTTCCTCGAAAGAGTAGGTATCCGCTTTCGTCTATC